CGCCAGCCAATGAGCGCCGCCGCGCAGGGCGTGTCCCCTAGGCCCGGGACATAAATGCGCCGCGCTCGGCGGTTCCTGCACGCTTCTGGCTCTGACAGAGACTCAGAAAGAATCCACCATGGTGCTGTCTCCTGCTGACAAGAGCAACGTGAAGGCTGCCTGGGACAAGATTGGCGGCCATGGTGCGCAGTATGGCGCGGAGGCCCTGTGCAGGTGAGGAATCCCCTTCCCTCGCTCGGACCAGGGACCAGCGCAACCCCAGCGCCCGGGACACCCAGAATTGTACGCCCGCAGCCTCTCCAGTCCCGCTCACCTACTGCTTCTCCCTGCAGGATGTTTCTGAGTTTCCCAACCACTAAGACCTACTTCCACCACTTTGACCTGAGCCCGGGCTCCGCCCAGGTCCAGGGCCATGGCAAGAAAGTGGCGGACGCGCTAACCACCGCCGTGGGCCACCTGGACGACCTGCCGAATGCGCTGTCTGCTCTGAGCGACCTGCACGCCCACAAGCTGCGTGTGGACCCCGTGAACTTCAAGGTGAGTGCTCGGGCCAGGCTGGGAACGAATCACGGATTCCAGAAGGTGCAGTCATTCTGTGTGGCCCGCAGACACTCACCGGGACTTTCTCTCTCTACAGCTCCTGAGCCACTGCCTGCTCGTGACCCTGGCTGCCCACCACCCAGCGGAATTCACCCCCTCGGTCCATGCCTCCCTGGACAAGTTCTTGGCCACTGTGAGCACCGTGCTGACTTCCAAATACCGTTAAGCTGGAGTGACCCTGCAGGGTCTCTTTTCAGGCCCTTCCCCCTCCCTTGCACCTGCACTTCTTGGTCTTTGAATAAAGTCTAAGAGGGCAGCAACCTGTGGCCTCTGTGTTCTCTGTGTCCACGACGGTGCCACGACTGGTGATGGTCCTTGCGTCTTAGGAGCACACCAATGGCTTAGAGCAAAGGAAGGAAAGGCAGGAAGGAAAGAGGGGAAGGTGAAGTGTGTCCAAGAATTCAGCGGACAACCCCTGGGCCCTGAAAGGGTGAATTAGTTCAGTCCAGAGCTCTGCAGACTCAGCGTGAGTTTGCTGCACTAATCCATTCTTCACATGCAAATACACTTGCGCTGAGCACTGGACCAGCTCTCCAGGGATCCTCTGGAGCTGGGTGGTGAGGCGTCCTGCCCTCTCATGTCTCACCGATCTCCCGATAACCCTCACATGCCCTTTGCAGTCTGGCTAAAACGGGGGTGACACCGCACAGTTCTCTGGAGGTGCCACCCGAGGATGGTGCCCACTGCTTGGCCACTGACGTCCTAGGGTCAAGATCAAAAGACTCAATCTTGGGCTGGGGATTTAGATCAGTGGTACCACTGCCTGCTGCGCAAGGTCCCGAATTCGATCCCAGGCACCAAAAAGAAAAACAAAACAAAAGAACAAGAAGACTCAGTCTAGGCCCAGCCTAGCACCCAGTCAGCTGCTCCGAGGCTAGTTTCCCAGTCCCCATAGCTAATAGCAGACCAGAGCCAGGAAGGCCTGGACAAAGCCCTTTCCCAATGTGCTACCTCCCTGCAGAGCAGGCCCCAGATCTAGTGCCTCAGAAGGAGGGCTTGGGGTTCCCGGGCTTGGCTCCAGCCCTTGGCTGACACCAGCATCTCTTCTTTCCTGGGCTCGAGTCATCCTAGAAAATACCTGTGGCAGCCCACTGCCCAGATAGGAATGCCTGAGCACCACCTGTGGCACAGTTTGAGTTCTGGGTAAGAGACTGTCTTTGCTATTTTACCAGAAAATAAGGCTCAAGGTAGAAACATATCACATGTACATCAGTGGATAGGTAAACAAAATCTGGCATATATATAGAATGAGAGCCAGGCATGGTGGCACATGCCTGTAATCCCAGCACTCAGGAGGCCGAGGCAGGAGGATTGCTGTGAGTTCAAGACAAGCCTGGGCTATGTAGTGAGTTCCAGATCCATCTCAACTACATAGTGAGACCCTGTCTCAAAAAATAAAAAAACAAAACAAAACAAAAAAAACCCCAAAACATAGAATGAAACAGTCATAAAAAGTAATGGATTTTTTGCCTTTTCAAGATAGTCTTACTATATAGTTCAGGCTGGCCTTGAACTATGTAGCCCAGGCTGGCCTCACACTTGCAGACAGCCTTCTCCTTCAGCCTCTTGACTGCTGAAATAGAAATGAAGTTCCTAAAGGATGTGGCTGGACCTTGAGAACATGCTGAGTGGAGGTAGCCAGACACCAGAGGCCACAGAGTATATTATCCCGTTTATTTGAAATACCCAAGATATGCAAATCCTTAGGGACAGACGACAGGTCAGTGGTTGCCCACTCCTGGAGGAGAGATGTTGGGTAGTCACTAATGGATATGGCGTTTCTATTTGGGATGAAATAGTTCTGGAAGTAGATAGTAGTGATGGCTTTACAACACTGTGAATTTACTAAATGCCATTGAATTTTACACTAGTTTTTGAGACAGGGCCTTGTTATATAGTGCACTCTGGCCTTGAATTTAATCTAAGTGATGGGACTACAGGCATGTGTCACTATGCCTGGCTTTGTACACTTTTAAGATGGTAAAATGTTATGTGAATTTTACCTCAATTTTTAAAAAAATGTGTGGCACCTGGTTCTGACGATGCACAGGTGCTTACTATGTTATTGGGACTCACTGTTGGCACCCCATAAACGTTTGTTGTCCTGAAAGGAGTATCTGCTGGGAGCAAGGCACTTAAAATTTATCTAATTCACATCAATTTTGAAAAGAAATTGTTCTCATTTTATGTAACAAAAGACTCAGAAAGTCTCCTAATATTGACACTTTCAATTCAAAATACGTGCTAAAATTCAGCGTTGCCTAATAATAATAATAATCGATACACATTAGATACTATTTTCCACATAGCAAATGCTTAAAAGCGTGAGGCCCCAGCGTTTAGGCTGACTCCAAAGGTCGCAGGTCGGAGAAGGGTGGATAGGGGCCCTGCGCACGGCAGGAGTGGCGCGAACGTTGCAAGCGCCCCCTGGAGGCCGTGCGCATCCCTTCGCGCAGAGGCGCGCTGGCATTCTGGACTCAGCGCTCCTCTCGGCTCCATCCGGAATGGAGCTGTCTGCCGCGGACCAGGCAGTGGTGCGCGCGCTGTGGAGGAAGATGGGTACCAACCTCAGCATCTATGTGACCGAGGCTTTGGAGAGGTGCGGACCGGGCTGGGCGTCCCATGACTCCACCGCCGATCCTCCCGTCCCGGTATTGAGCACCACCTGACCTGGCCACACCAACAGCCACCTTGTTCCTCCTGCAGGACCTTTCTGGCCTTCCCTTCCACCAAGACCTACTTCCCACACTGGAACCTGAGTTCCGGCTCAGCCCAGGTCAAAGCCCACGGCCAGAAGGTGGCCGACGCGCTGACCCTCGCCGTGGACCAGCTGCATGACCTGCCGGGAGCACTATCAGCTCTGAGCGACCTGCACGCGCGCAAGCTTGGCATAGACCCAGCCAACTTCCAGGTGAGCAGCTGTCGCAGGGGAGGGGTGCCAAGCAGGGGTGTGCCCAACAGTGAACCCAGGGAGGGGGCCCTCTGCCCACAGCTCCTGGGCCACTGTCTGCTGGTCACCCTAGCCCGGCACTACCCTGGAGACTTCAGCCCTGCTGTGCACGTGTCACTGGACAAGTTTCTGAACCTCGTGACTTCGGCCCTGGCCTCCAAGTACCACTGAACTGGGTGCGGGTGGTCACTGGTCTCCTCTATCCCCTCCCGTGAGGTCCTAGCATTCAAGTAAAGTCCTCCAGGGCCCTGACCCCGCGTGTCTTCTGTGAAGGGCGGGTGCTCCACTCTCGAGGGGAGGGCCGTGCGCTCCAGCCCCTTCCTGGACTTTTAAAAGGTTTCTGGAAGGTTCAGCGGCCCACGGGGCCCCAATCACGAACCAGGACACCTCTCAACTTTGGTCCTGACCATTTCAGGGTGACCTGTGGTAGCTCTGGCCCCACAGGAGGATGGCAGATTGATGGGCTTCAGGTGGTAGGGATGCCAGGGCTGCTGTGATGTCCAGCCTGGATCATCCTCAGGACTCCTTTGGCCCCACGGCATGGCCCTCTCACCAACTGGAGGATCCATGTGCAGGGCTGCATGTTGTCAGATCGGTGTGTCCAAGGCTACTGGGGTACTGCCTGAGAAAAAGGGATCACGGGGCCTGCCCTTGCTGACTGGTACGGGGAGGCTTGTGGTAGAAGCCTCGTGTTGCCAGACCCGACGTGGTGGAAGGTGGTTCCTGGGGCCTGGTCGCTACAGTTGGGTAGCTGGGGCCCACCTGGACCCTGCCCTGCCTTCAGCTGACATGTCTGCAAGGGTAGAAGTAGGGCTGTTTCTGTCTGCAGAAAATCAATCATGGTCATTGCGGAAACTTGAGAGAACACTCCCCTGATGGCCCTTTTTGTGTATCCCAGGCCCAAGGAATGGGTCCAGCACATCCATTATTTCTTCAACTCCCACTTGACAAGTGAACTGCATACAAGAAATTGAAGCCACATCCCACAGCACATGCATGACATGTGCATATCACACATGGACAGAAACAGGCTGCACCCAGATAGGAAACAGTAATGGATTTCAGGTCCTTCCAGGATAGATAGAGATAGGTAGGTAGATAGATAGATACCGGGGATTGAACTCAGGACCTTGAATTTGCAAGGCAGGCGTGGTGTTACTGAGCTAAATCCCCGGAGATATTCTTAAGAAATGGTATCCTTAGAGCTAAGCATTGTGGCACACACCTGTAATTCCAGCACTAGGGAGACTGAGGCAGGAGGATCGTTCCAAGTTTGAGACTGGGCTGAGTTCGAGGACATTCTGAACTACACAGGGAGACCTTGTCTCAAAAACACAAAAACTAGGGCCAGGGATTTAGCTCAGTGGTGCTGCCACTGCCTTGCAAGCAGAAGGTCCCGAGTTTGATCCCTGGCACCAAAAAAATTCAGGGTTAAAAAAACAAAAATGAGGGCCAGGGATTTAGGTCAGTGGCACTGCACCTGCCTTGCAAGCACAAGGTCCTGGATCTAAAAACCAAACCAAAGAACAACAAAAAAAATCCCCAAACAAAAAAGAAATGGCATCCCTAAAATGACAGGCAAAAAGTACACATAGCAGACTACAGGAAGAGGACAAAAAGGAGGGTATGTGATGGTTGTATCAACCTGACTCAGCTAAAGGATGCCCAGGCAGAGCCATTATTTCAGTGGTATCTCAAGTTTCCAGAAGAGACTGGCACTGGAATCAGCAGAGTAAAATCCACCCTGCCCATTGTGGCTATCAATAATCATCCATCCACTGGGAGTAAAATCAGAAAAAGTGGAAGACCAATCTGTCTTCTGCATGAGCTGGGATGACCACCTCCTCCCATGATTCTTGGGCCTTTGGATATGGACTGGACCCCACCACTGGCTTTCCTATGCCTCAGCTTGCAGACAGCAGACCCTGGGACTCATCCTGTGATGGCTAGAGGCCAATCCCTAATAATAAATCTCTATGTATCCATAACGTATTGGGTCACAGATGGGAGGTGGGAGCTGGGCATGGTGGCATCTGTGTAGCTGTAATACTCCGGAGTGTTGCTTGAGCCTTAAGAGTCCAGCCTGGGGAACACAGTAGGACCCCACATCTCAAAAAAAAGAAAGAAAAGAAGAAAAAAAAGGTATATTTCATTATAATCATTTGTTTAAAAAATAACATCCCCCACCAGGAGATGAGAATGAGGCAGGAAACCCTTTTGCAGCACTGCCCCTCAACAAATACTGCTGTCTGTGATGGGTCTGCCTACCACAGCCCAGCACCTGCATGACATAAGAGTGCCCTGAGCGGGTCGGGAAACCTGTACCAGTGACCTCAGCTTTAGTGCTTTTTGCCTCTACCCTCCCAAGACAACCCGAAGGGGACTCTTGTACAGAAAGCAAATGTGGATCCCAGCTCACTCTTCCCTAGCAAGCTCAAGTCACAATCACCCAACAATCAGAACCACGATCTTGCTTTCCTAAAAACACTACCAATGGTATGTGGAAGTCTTCACACAGCGTGAGCAGAGCATATTCTAGGACGACTTCTCTGGTCTGCCTCAGCTTGGGCTGGAGGGAAAGTGGTGCTCCTTGAGTGGGGAGACCCTGTGACATGCAGATTTCTTCAGAGCAGAGATGCACCTCCCAAGCCCAAACAACTCCTTTCAGACTTGCAGGCAATGCTGTGGAAAGGACCACACTGGATGAGAAGGTAAAAAGTGGGTTGCCTGCAGCAAAGTGAGACTTGATACAGGTGGCTGATCTGGGGATGCAGAACGGGAGGAAGGAAAAGCCACTGAAAGACAAACTCAAGACTGCACCGGGGGGTAAGGGCTTCATTTGACCAGGACTGCTTGAGAAAGGAACAAAGGCCCCACGGAACTGTTCTTGCAAAGTGAGGAGGGAAGAGCATCTATCACAGCTCCTCTTACTGGGTGGATGATGACCCAGAGGGTTGCAGTAACTTGGTGCTACCACGCAAGGTTGAGGACATTTGACACTGCAGACTAAATCGGTTCTGTCCTCAGCTATCATCCATGAGATGATAGAGGAGCTGGCATATGCACTCGGCTCACCGTCCAGAACCTTCTGTGGCTTACATACCCTGTTCCCTGTCAAAGCAAAACACAGTTGTTTGTCTACACAGAAATTTATGTCTAGATAGAAAAGGATCTAAATCATTCATAGTGAAAATGGCTGCAAGGGTGGGGCTATCTGGCCAAGCCCCAGGAAAACCCATGTTATAGACAAAGAGTGCTGGCCTGGGTGGCCATAGCCACTAGCAGAATGTCAGCTCAAGAACAAGGAGCCCAGGCTCAGCTGCTCCCTTCAGGAAGACTAGGAACAGACCCCTGGGCCCTAATGTCCATGAGGAAATCTACATGTATGTGTAACACAGCAGCAACCCAAGGGAACCCCACTCATGTCCCTTCCCAACTGGCTTTCCTGTGGAGACAGCTGGCCAGGGAAGACCTGCGTCAGGACAAGCAGCAGAACAGCCTACCCACTCACGTTCCTGCGAGGGACAGACTGCAGTAGGGGGAACCCAGAGCAGAATCAGAGGCCAGCTTTAGGAGGCTGGTGTCCCCACAGGGCCCAGTTCAAGGTTGCACACAATAAGGATAAGAGTAGGGATAGGGCAACAGTGTTTCACCTGTGTACCAACAGAAGCCCCCTCCAAAAACAAATCCTAAAATACCTACAATAATACAATATCCTAGAAAAGGGAAAGGGGAGGAGCTCCCAGTATCTACAAGTTAGCTTCACTTTGGTCCCACAGTGACCAAAAGAAGAAATGGTAACACAAACAGCCCACCCTTGGCATGAATCAGCTCAACAGTGTCCCAGGATAGCAGATCCAACGCTAGTGTCCCCTCCTCTGAGGACCTATTAGCTGTTGGGTCGGGAGCTTCCACTGGTCTTTTCTCCCCACCAAGTAATTTCAAAGGGGAACTGCAGTGCAGCTGGTCTGAGCTAGAATCTGACCAGACAGCTCTTCGTAAAGACCAGGGTAGGAACGTGGCACTCTCCCTGCTCCCTAAGGAAGGCTGCTCTCTAATTTGCACCGAGGGGCAGAGATGAAGTAGCTGGGATATGGGATGGGCCAGGTGGGCCCATGTACTTGGCTCAATCAAAGTTGTGTATGGGGAGGGCTGTTGCCTATGTCAGATGCCAGAAGTCAAAATGGCCAGAAAGTTCAGTAGGTTTTCTGAGGTGTTGGAAGCACCAGTCCTTGTCTCCACTGGCAAAGTCCTGGCAAAGCGCCACGGAGCAGAGGACAGCAGAGACCCCACTTCTGCTGTCAGAAGGCAGTCTGCCAGGTTTATTTATTCCTATGCAATAGAACCCCAGAACATATAGGAGCAACTCTGCATGACTCTAGAAACTCACAGCTAGCTCCAAACAACAGAAATTTAAACTACAAAAGATGAGTTGTATTCAGCAAATATAAAGGGTGATTTTAGGCTATGATGAACATCTCTCAGACTATTTACAGTGCCAGGACAGGGGCTCAGATCTCGCCGGCTTCCTTCTCCTCTGACTTCCGCAAAGCAGCCTTCCCGTTGGAGCTCTCCAGCCTCCAGTCAGTGGACCCTCGATCGCTGCGCCCATACTCCCAGGACTCCTCTCTCGACATGCGCTCTCTGGAGAACCTGGGAAAGGGGAACCAGAGGCTCAGTGGAGACGTCCATGCTGGCTAGCTGCTCAAGAACCAACAATGTGAACCCTCAACGCCGGACCAGGGCACCCCCACACACACCCCCAGGTGGCCTGCAATCTCATTCTCAACCCGCTGCACAGGGAATTTTCAGGAAGCCATTAAAAAGTAATGTTTGCAAAGACTTTTAATAAGAAAACTTGCACTATAACATAAACAGAACAAAGGAGAATACAACAAAATTGTACACAGAGCATGTGATCCACTGTGTAAAAATACAAGGCAAAAAAGCCCAAAGAGCCCTGGTTAGGACATACACATTGGCTGCTCTGTGCGTGGACTGCACCTAAGCCCCTATAGCACCACCTAGAGGCCCTTGAGAGACCCTTCACAGCCTTCTCCAGTTCCAAGCCAAGTCATGCTCACCACACCACAACACCCCAACATTGTCAAGGATGACAGGCTGTGCTCCCTCTCAAAGCCCAGCTCTGGCCCTAGCAGATGCAGCCAAAGGGCCGGGCTGACAGACCCCCAGCAGACCCTGGGAACAAAAAGGAGTTCATTCCTGGCTGCAGCTACCGAAGGAGTCAGAGTAGTTACTTGTATTTCACATTCCGGTCCCTGGAAGGCCGGCGGTGTCCCCGGCTATGGCTCCGGGAACGGCTGCGGTGGCGCCGGTGTCTATCTCTGTCTCGAGAACGGGAACGGGAAGATTTCCGTCGCTCTCGGGAGTTGGATCTTGATCGCCTTCGACGGCGATCCCGGGAGCGTGACCTGGAAAAACCGGAAGGCTGTAGGCAGAAACTACAGGAGCCAGACGCAAAGAAAGGCATACCCCAAATGCTCACAGTCAGCACGCTCCCATTTCCTCCCACAAATTTACAGGTTAGGCTTAAATTATTCTACGAGTTAACGTGATGGCCAGTCTCTTCCCATGAATGATGCCTACCAAAGCCTGGCCCTTAGCATTCCTGGCTGACCTGCAGGCCAACCACCTAACAGTGAGGGGTCCTTCCCTATGCTAAGCTTCAAATAATGTCTGGGTTCTGTGCCCTTGACTAACAGATAAGGTTGTACAGCTATTGAGAAACATGCTTGTGGAAAAGCTCTGGACTGAGAACTCTAATGGATCTGGAAACCTACCTCCTGCGATCTCTGGTTCTTGATCCAGACCTGAAAAGGACAAAGACCTGTTATTTTCTGGCTGCCTGACCGTTCTTGGTCTGCAGCAGGAAATGCCACACCTTCTGCAATGCTATACACCTGTTCTGTGGCTCACTCAGTAACACGTCAGTAGCACCTGAAGGATGCAGCAGTGCAAGCTGATGGGAACTGGACCGATCTATCTGCACATGTTGAGGGGGAGCTGCGTCACAACCAAGCCAACGTCGGACTACCACATCTTTGGGGTGGACTATAATGGTTTATAGCTAGATGTCTCCCTAAAGCCTCATGCTCTCCTAAGTGGGGCTTTGGGGAAGTGACTGGACAATGGGTTACAACACTTATTAGTGCATTAGATCACAGATGAGTTTATAGGTAAATGTGTTGGGAGGTAAAGTCTGGTTTGAGGAGGTGGGTCATGGGGAAGGGGGGACTACACAAGTGTATCTCCCTCTTCCCGCTCTTGGGCCTTCTCTCTGCTTCCTGCCACCATACTATGAGCTCTTCTTTTTCTGCCACTCTGCCTTAGAGCCAGCTGACTATAGACTGAAACCTCTACAAACTGTGAGGCAAAATAAACCTTTCCTCCTTAAGAGTTGTGGGTAAGGGGCTGGGGCTCAGTGGTTCTGCCACCTGCCTCGCAAGCACAAGGACCTGAGTTTGATCCCCAGTACCCCCCGCCAAAAAAGTTGTGGGTATCAGGTACTGTGTCTCACTGATGAGGAAGTAACTAGTAACTTAAGACATGGCCACTAGGGCCAGGAATTTAGCTCAGTGGTTCCACCGCCTGTCTCACAAGTGCCAAGGTCCTGAGTTCAATCCCTGATACAAAAAAAAAAAGACATGGACACTAGCACAGAGGTGCAGTCACAGAACAGGGGCAGGACTGGGCGGAACTCCACATGCACCAAAGTTCCAGATACAGGCTTACTGACAGGAAGGAGTCAAATGGGCTCTTTCTGTTACACAATCAACAAGTGGAAATATGCATGTCACAAGGTCTCATGTGACACTTATTCTAGAAGCACGAGTATTACAGACAAGTGGTGCCAGATGCCCGCAAATGCCAGGGCTTAAACTTGACTGCACAGACAGGCCCAACCACAACAGTGACCACTACTTCTGCCTGAAAGGGACATCACGTCTTACTGAGCAAATTTTTAGATCATTTGAGCCTCTTCATAATCAGAGTATATTACAATTAAAATAAGAAAGGAAACAAAAAGTACAGCAAGTACTTGACCTTTCTGAATGATAAACTAAAGAATTCCTTCAGAAAAGCGGTTTTTGGGTTTGTTTGTTTGTTTTTTTTTTGAGACACAGTCTCACTATGTAGTTCATGCAGACCTTGAACTATGTAGCCCAGGCTAGCCTCAAAATCGGCAATCCTCCTGCCTCAGCCTCATGAATGCTTGAATTACAGGCATGCACTACTACATCCATCCAGTAAATCAGTTTTTGGAGTTTTCAAGGCCAATGAGCCATGCCTTTTTCAGGGGAGTGGTTAATTCTGACTCTGACCTCTTCTTTGAATTCCAATGAAATGTAACATTTCTACCTGGGTTTCTCTCAAGCATCTTAAACTGAGATGAATTCTATCCCCACACTCCTGCTCTAACTTCCCCACCCAGTGTGCAGCAACTCTGGACCAAAAATAAAAAGGCTAGGTTCCTTCTTCCTTCATACATCTCACACAACTAAAGAGCAACTCCTGTCAGTTTTTCCCTACACCACAGACTCTTGCTCCTAACCAGGTTAAACCACCTTCTGTACTTGGCCCCTCTCAACCAGCTCAAAAGTCTTGCTGCTCCATCCCAACACAATGCACTCTCATCTCCAAAGGGCAGCAGTGTTTCCTGTCAGCAGATCCCACCGCTCCTCTGTCAGAATTGTGGCCCCATATCATACAGTAAACACCAGAGCCCTGCCTACTGTAATACTCAACCCAAAGCTCTCCCATGATGTATTTTCCTCACAGCATGTGTCACCCAGCACAAGAAGACAGCACACTGGGCTGCCAGAGAATCAGTTCATGGCTTCTCTACATGCTGAAGGCTCCATGCCCAGTGGAGCAGGTTCTGTGAGATGAAAGAGAACCCTCTCTTCAGCTTAGCCCTCTCCCTCCTTTAGGTGGAACACAGATCCTCAACTAGCCCTTCCCTCTCTAGACTGAATATGCCGCATGTTTTTACTTTTCTTTTAATGATCATGTCAGTCAATGCCAGACTATGACTACTCCAAGCAACACTTCAACCATGGAGCAAGGACCTCCTGAGGCCTGAGGGCCACTGGCCTGCGGTCCCTCCACGCTCACCTCCTAGTCAGCCGCTCTTCCCGCTCTCTCTCTTCTCTTCTCCTCAGGCGATCCTGATTTCTCTTCTCCTGCTTTTCAGCCACAGTTTTCTACATAAATGAAAAATGCGACAGTGAGAGAAAAGTAACAGAAGCTCTTAAGAGTAGGAATACATTGGGGCCGGGGATTTAGTTCAGTGGTACCACCACCTGCCTCACAAGCACAAAGACCCAAGTTCGATACCCGGTACCAAAAAAAGAATAGTAACACATCTATTTTACATCTTATAAATCCAGTGGCAAATTGCACATTCCAAGCGTGACAGTCCTTTATTTGTTTATGTACTTATTTTGGGGTACCAGGGCTTGAACTTGGGACCTTGTGCTTGTGAGGCATGTGACGGCACCAGTGCTTTATGTTTTTTTGTTTTTTTTTTCTTTTTTGTACCAGTGATCAAACTCAGGACCCTGCACTTGCAAGGCAGGCGGTGGAATCACTGAGCTAAATCCCTGGCCCTTCTTAATGTTTTTTGACATAGGGTCTCAATGTGTGTAGCTCAGGCTGCCCTTGCACTTGCAGTTATCCTCCTGCTTCAACCTCCCAAGTGCAGGGATTATAGGTACCTACTACCAAACCTGACGAGGTGCTAAGTTTCTAAGTCACAGGGTATTGGTCGTACCGTTTCAAACTAAGCCAGAAAATTTTTACCCAAAGGTATCTCAATAACCACCATGAGGAAAGAGAACTGACTTGTCTAACAAGCACATCCTGGCTATCATAGCTTTCCGAGACAGCCCATAGTTTCCCAGACACAGTGTGTACTTTTATCTTTGCTCTTACCCTTTTTCTATTTACTCGGCCCACGCTTCCTCCACATTACGTCTCTCTTTCACTCTTCACTTTTACTTTCTCGAATAAACTTTGCCACTGCTTTTTGAAGAAAAAACAAGCACATCCTGCTGCTGGGAAGGAGCTCCTGATGCCAAGAAGTGGCCCTTCCTCCCAAGCATATCCCACATGCCTTAATCCCTGCATTCGGGAGATTGAAAGGAAGGAAGATTGCCACAAATTTGAAATCAGCCTGGGCTATATACTGAATTCAAGCCCAACTTAAACTACAAAGTTAAGACCCTGTCTCCAAAGAAAGAAAAAAAGTGACCCATCCTCAGGTGCTGGGTTCCGTGCTGACTTGAGACTAACTGTTCTTCTAGGTGCCAGGCTCATGAGACCTCTGGACTTGGCTTCTAACACTCACTATCAGACCTGATTCATCAATCTTGATCATAAATTAACAGAAGATAAGAGGCTCTGAGAAACCACTGCTGTAACCCATCAAAAAAAAAAAAAAAAAATTGCAGATACCACTCTACATCTCTACCTCGCAAACCAACTCAAAGTGATGCCTTTCTAATCACTCTGCTAAGTGAAATGAAACCCTGAGAAGGGTCAGAGCCAGTGAGACAAAAGGTCACCAGTCTTCTCTGCCTAGAGAGCTGTATGGCCACGAAGATCTTCCATACCCAGCATGGATTATAGCCAGCTCCTTCCAGACGAGGGGGTACAGCAAAGACCAAGAGAAGTCTGATCTAGTACCTTTGACTATACCCATCCTTCACCACAGCAAGACACACAGGATGGACAGCTGTTAGGGTTCAATTTAAGGACAGAAGTGTCAGCGCCACATCTTTCACCCACATCCATTCCTGAAGCAGAGCTGATTGAGAACAGGCCTGTGGTCTGGCACCATCTCCTTTCCAATCCACCACTCTTAAAATACCATCCACCTCCTACCTCATCAGCAAAAGCTCACTTTTACCCACAAAGGTGTTAGCAACTGTGGGACTGTTTGACAAAGGGGCTTCTACTTAAGAGGCCTCTAAGAACCCTTGCCTCTCTCTCATCATTAAGAATTCCACTTCTAGGGCAGGGCATTTAGCTCAGTGGTTCCTTGCAAGCACAAGATCCCAAGTTCAATCGCTGGTACCCCTCACCCCCAAAAGAAATCCACTTCCAGCCAGGGATTTAGCTCAGTGGAACTGCCTTGCAAGCACAAGGTCCTGAGTTCAATCCCTGATACAAAAAAAAAAAAAAAAAAAAAAAAAA